GCGCATGCGCACCCAGCCGGCGCCTCGACTCACCACGAAAGCCCATCCAATCAACATGATCCGACGCCTGTCACCAGGCGAAAATGAACCATCGACGGAAACCGACAAGGCTGATGCACCCGACCGGTATCCGATCCGAGTTCAGGATCGGTGGCGCCATTCTTGGCGGCGAGAACCACTGCAAATAGTTTGGAGCGAGTCCAACCGGTCGCACGCGTTCTCCTCTGTGGTGCAAGGGGAACCCTTGCTGAGGGTGTCCCGAATAGCAGACCTTTCGGAACCCCCTGCGTCCTTATATCTCAGGACAAACCCCCTACCTGAAAGATTTACCGAGCTGAGGGGGTTGTGCGATTTATCTTTTCGACCTCCACGGCCCCTACTCACGAATGAGAAAGTCGCGATACTTTTGAAAGAGGCGGTGTCGTTTCAACCCCGAACAAGGGAATATCGGTGGGGACCGAGGGAACTGACGCAGGCCTTTTCGGTAGAACCCACGGCCGAACCCGTACTGGATAGTGACAGTGACATGGAAAGCGAGCCGATGAGCCCGGCGGACAGTCAACTTATTGCGACTCTCCTTTCGGCGAAAACCGACAACTCTTTGTTTGGGGCCTCGCCTGATGCCTACGCGGCGGTCCCCACGGTTACGATGACGGTCTCCCTTCCTGGGGGAACCGTAGAAGTTCAGTTACCAACCCGTGTTCCGGATGAATACCGACGCCTCCTCCTGGCAGTTATACGGGCCTATCTTGAGGCCGTTAGTATTCAGGACCACGACATAGGGCTAACCCCTTTGATACAGCACGCGATTGATACCGGGGATCACGCCCCGATAGATTGCCGACCGTATCGATATTCCCTTAAAGAAAGACAGCTGGCGTCGGAAAGGGTACGAGAATTCGAGCGGTTGGGGCGGGTCGAACCATCGCTGGGACCATGGTCTTTTCCCGTGGTCGTTGTGCGAAAACGAAATGGTTAGGTCCGGGTATGTATCGACTACCGGAAATTGAATGCTATCACTACCAAATGTGTGTATCCCTTGCCGCGAATCGACGATTTGTTGGATACTATCGGGGCCGCTCGAGTCTTTTCCAAGTTCGATATCCGACACGGTTTTCACCATGTCGCAGTCCGACCGGAGGACCGACCCAAAACCGCTTTTGTCCTATTTGAAGGCACGTGGCAATGGGTCC